CCAGGCCCAGCCTGGAACTCCAGGCAGGGGTCGCAGGATCTCCTTTCCCTCAAGGCAGTGAGCAGTGAGGGCTCTGCGTCAGGAAGAGAGGCCGCTCCTCAGGCTGCCGAGCCCTCCGGTGGGTAAGCGACACCGCAGACCCATGGCATCCTGAGAGCTGCCATCTGCAGCAGAGAGGTCCTGCTTTCATCCACGCTCAGCACCCTCGGGTGGCACTGCCACAGGGCTGGTCTGTGGCCTCACAGGAAACTGCAGGGAACCTGCCAGGAGGGCGCTTCACAGGGTCACAAGCACTTCACACCACGACAACTCCACACAGCAAGAGTCAGGAGTAGACCTGAATTCACACACAGAGAATGGAAGCCGGTCTCCCATGGGAGGTGTAGCTGTGTCAACACTTCTTGGCCAATGAGTCTGACTTAGAAAGCAGTGGGCGCTCCACAACCAGCTTCGGGGAGAGCAGGGTCCATGAACTCCAGTCCTCCTCCACGCAGCCCATGGCGTCCAGGTAGCCTGCGAGCCTATCTGTGCTGTGGGTGGGACCCCTCCAGACCCAGGCTGAGCCCCAGCCTCCATTTCCCAGGGGTGCTCCAGCACAGGGAGGAAGGGACAAGGCCCTCACCCCTCTCTCCAGCCTCTCACAGCCACGGCTGGGGTGGAGCAGACACGTTCACCCACGGCGAATGGACCTAACCCAGGTACCCCATCTGGGAGTCCCTTCCTCGCCTCACCCCAAAATCCGGCGGCTCCATTCCCGTGGCTGGTGGACTCCTACTCAGGCCCATCCGGGCAATGTCTCCACATAGGCACTCCGACTCTGCCAAATCAAGCGCCTGGAGAGGACTCACAGCACGGGCGAGGCAGAGGCTAAGTGCTTTCATCCCGGTTCTCCAACGGAAAGTGCTCTTTGTTTTGTCTGGGGACGGGGAGAACCCACAAAAGGCCATTTCCGTCACAACTGTGACCTGTGGCTGGTGGGAATAGACTGCCAAGGCAACCCCTCTAGCAGCAACCGCTCCTGCACTGGCCAAGCCCAGTGCTGAGAACCTGAGGCGCAGCTCAAAGCTAAGGGCACCGAAAATTTACACCAGACCACGAGGAAACCCAACCCCAGACTGTTTTGCGGAAGAATGCAACTCTAAACAACGTTATGCTGCAGGAGCCGCTCCTGCCAAAGAACGGAGCCAGGCCCCGGGGCACCGCTGGAATGAGGTTTCTCGGCCCCGCTGGTCGGGCAGGTCTGGCTCTATAGGAGGACGCCTCGGCTCCGCGAGATCCGCGGGCCCATCGCCGCTGAAGCGCTGACTCTCCCTTCCGCAGCTCGGCCCACCCCCCGGCGAGAGGGCGCTCGAGACAACGTAAACACAGCAGGCCCCGGCTGGCCCAGGCACCCGGGCTCTGGGTTTGCAGACCCCTCCCCTCCTTACCACTCTGGGGGCGGGATGGGAGGCAGGGCGCCTGGAGCCAGAGTGGGGTAAGTTGGGCAGGTGGCAGAGCCGGAACCTAGGCTCGACTCGCCACGTGCGCTGCCCATGAAGTTTGGGCGCGCGCTGGGGGCGCAGACCACCACCCCCAGGCCACGATTCAGGGTCCCCGGGCCAGGAAGCCGGGAAGCGGCGGCGAGGGCGCCCTGAACTTCCCGCAGGCTCCCTCAGGTTCTCATTCGAGGTCCCCCAGGCCAGGAAGTCTGCAGGCAGCGGGGACGCCCCAGACCCCCAGGTTCCCGTTCGGGAGCCGCCACAGCGAAGCGGAAGCGGCGGCCGGGGCCCCGACCTCAGGCTCCATTCCGGGGTCCCTCCAAGACGCGCAGTCGGGAAGCGGCGGCAGGGGCGCCCAGGACTTGGGATGGCGTTCGGGGTTCCCCCAGCTGGGAAGTCTGGAGGCGGCGGTCCTCCGGACCCCTCGGGCCTTCAGGGTCCCCAGGACGGAAGCCGGGAAGCGGCGGCAGAGCGCCAGCACCCCCAGACCCGGGCACCCGTCCAGGGCCCCGGCAGAAAGCCGCGGCAGTCCGAGGTCCCAAGTCCCGCCCCCGGCCATCGACCTTGACGGGGACGGCCCCGAGGCGGCGTCTGAGGCCGGGTGGCGGGGCGGCGGGCCGGGCCGGGAGCAGGGCAGGCCCGCGCCGCTCGTCCTCCACCGGTCTCGTCGGCGCCCGGGTTGTTCATGGCGGCGGCGGCATCAGCGCTCCGGGTCCTCCTCGCTCGCTCCCGCCTCCGGAAGATCACCCGCTCCTGTCGCCCTCCCGGCCCCGCGGCCAGATCTGCGCGCAACGGCGGCGGCGGCAGCGGCGGCGGCTGCCTCCTCCCCTCGGCGCCAGCAGTCACGCGCGTCCCCGCCGCCGCGCCGCCGCCCTGCGCACGCCCGGGCGCGCTTTCCCGCCGCAGGGCCTCCGGGGGGCGGGGCCGGGGTACTCCGTCTGTGCGTGCGCGTCCTGGCGGCCGATTCGCGCCGCCGCAGTCGGCGCGTCGCGCGTTTCCCTTCCTCACTCGGAGCTCCCGGCGTTGCCGCGGGGCACTCTGGTAAATGGAGTCCTGCGCTGGCCCGCCCTGAGAGGGAAGGATGCGCGCGGGCCGAAGGCCACGTGCGTGCGTGCGCGCGCGGGGAGCGCCTGGCGATCCGGGCTAAGCGCAGACGCGGCTGCCCGCTTCCTCTTTAACTCTCCACTGGGAAGCTGTGGAACCGTGTGGGAGCGCTGGGGGGGTGGGAGTGTCCCCGCCCGCACCCCAGTCGGGCGGACGGGCAGGCTGGCATGGCCGTCCCGTGCAGGCTCCTTCCCATGTCCCCATTTCACAGAAGAGAGAGGATCCCGAGGTCGAGAGGCTGAATCACTTGAGTCAGGAGTCACTCAGTTCGGGACTGGACTGGAATCAAATCAAAACAATTAACTAAATTCCATTACTGAAGGTATTATGGCCCCCAAGTACTATTCCTATTAATAGCCAAATACTGTTTTAGTTGCATCTGTTAATTGCATACATCAGTAGTTCTTCTCTATAGGTGACTTTGCTGCCTAGGGGATAACTTGTAATGTCTGGCTCACAGTTTTGGTTGTACATCTGATGAGGGTACTGGCATGTGGGGGTCCAGACCCAGAGATGCCGCTCAGCACCCTGCAGTGCACAGGATGGCCCCCAAAAAGAATGATACCGTCCTCCAATGTCAGCGGTAGGAGGTGGAGAAATCCGTCTAGGCTGACCTTGGTAAACAGGTGACACGCAGGGTTTTGTCAAACCGGAGTGCGTGATGCCCCTGCTTTTCTCCTTCATCTCACAGCATTGATAACCCGGGTCGTTTGATTTATTCATCATCACAAAATTAAATAAATACAAGAAACAAGGCTGGGTGAGGTGGCTCACACCGATATTCCCAACATTTTGGGAGGCCAAGGTAGGTGGATCAATTGAGGTCAGTAGTTCGAGACCAGCCTGGCCAACATATATAGTGAAACCCCGTCTGTACTAAAAATACAAAAGAGGCCGGGCGCGGTGGCTCAGAGCCATGTAATCCCAGCACTTTGGGAGGCCGAGGTGGGTGGATCAGAGGTCAGGAGATCGAGACCATCCTGGCTAGCACGGTGAAACCCCGTCTCTACTAAAAATACAAAAACTAGCCGGGCGAGCGCCTGTAGTCCCAGCTACTCGGGAGGCTGAGGCAGGAGAATCGTGAACCGGGAGGCGGGCTTGCAGTGAGCTGAGATCCTGCGCTGCACTCCGCCGGGTGACAGAGTGACACTCCGTCTCAAAAAAAAAAAAAAAATACAAAAGAAAATTAGCCAGGCGTGGTGGTGGGCGCCTGTAATCCCAGCTACTCGGGAAGCTAAGGCAGGAGAAATGCTTGAACATAGGAAGTAGAGGTTGCAGTAAGCCGAGATCATGCCGCTGCCTCAGCCTGGGCAACAGGAGCGAGACTCCCCTCTTAAAAAAGAAAAAAAGGGCCGGGTGCGGTGGCTCCAGCGCCTGGAATCCCAGCACTTTGGGAGGCCAAGGCGGGTGGATCACGAGGTCAGGAGATGTAGACCATCCTGGCTAACACCGTGAAACCCCGTCTCTACTAAAAATACAAAAAATTAGCTGGGCGTGGTGGCGGGTCCTGTAGTCCCAGCTACCTGGGAGGCTGAGGCAGTAAATTGCTTGAACCCGGGAGGCAGAGCTTGCAGTGAGCCGAGATCGCACCACTGCACTCTAGCCTGGGCAACAGAGCAAGACTCTGTCTCAAAAGAAACTACCACAACACACACACACACACAGAGAACAGATCACGAGCCAAACAGAACAAAAGCGCTTTTTTTTTCTTTTATTTTGGGATGGCGTCTCACTCTGTTGCCCAAGCTGGAGTGCAGTGATGCAATCATAGCTCACTGCAGCCTTGAACTCCTGAGCTCAGCTATCCTCCTCCTCAGCCTCCCGAGTAGCTGAGACTAAAACCCTATTTAAAATAAAACTGGCCAGATGCAGGTGCTCATGCCTGTAATCTCAGCACTTTGGAAGGCCGAGATGAGAGGATCGCTTGAGCCCAGGAGTTCAAGACCAACCTGGGCAGCATGATAAAACCCCCATCTCTACAAAAAAAAAATAATAATAATGCAAAAATCAGCCAGGTTTGGTGGCACGCGCCTGTAGTCCTAGCTACTTGGAGGCTGAGGTGGGAGGATAGCCTTTGCCCCAGGAGTTGGAGGTTTCACTATTCTGGCCTCAGTGACAGCCCGGCCAGCCCCTCGCCCTCTGCACCTCCAGACAACAGCTGTCTGCCTCCACAAGCCACCTCAGCCCGAAGTCTTCCCTGTAACTTGGGATGGAAATACCAAGTTAACAGTCTCAGAGCAAATACACACTTACTCTCTGCCCCAGCCAACTCCAATGTGCCCTGCCCAGAAACCAAAACAATGTCAAAAGGCCTTTAAAACATCCGAGACAGTAGCAAGAAGCGGGCAGACACAACTTGAAGGCCAAGGTCCTAGAGCCCTGTCTGCAGTGGCCACCTGACACCCCTTCCCCACCTACCTTGGGTCGTGCTCCAGTCAAGACCGCCCACAAAGAGCTTCCTGCAATTCAATGAGAAGATATTCAGGATCAAGACAGCGCTCACCTTAGAAATGCCCCCCATCTGAGTCAAGCTGAGGTCTTAATTCAAACCACAGCAGCAGTTTCTGCGAACGTGCTTGTGCACGTGATGGCACACAGAGCTCACAGCAATGGCGAGTCAGCCTTGCCCATGCTGTCTGCAGACATGAAAGATGATCCCAAGCCTTGCCATGGGGAGAAGACTGTGCCAGAGTCACACGCTGGCCTCAAGCGCAGCAGGCGACGAGCCCCTGCGCCAGGCCAGTGGTGCCGGCACCAGGCTCACCTGCGCTGCTGCCGAGCGGGACACAAGCTTGCTTTCCTACAGCTTTTGCAAATATTTTATAATCACGAAAAAGAATGTAGAAGTCTAGATTTGAAATGATGCACGGTAAACTAGATGCCTGTGCCACACGGCCTCTGAATTACAGGCTGGGGAGGGGGTGGCGGGACACAGAAGCCTCCCGCTGAGCCTGCACTCATGAACGAATGAGGGGCCCACAGATGAAGGTGAAGGCCCTGAAGCTCCAGTCTCAGCACTGGCCCCCCTTACCTGCCCCCGACAAACCCACGCCATCCCCATTCTGGGGCTGTCTCTTCGGGGCAGATGAGAAGGACCTAAAACTCAGTCTCAGCACTGGCACCTCCTGCCCGCCCCCACCCCCCCACTAAAGGCCCGCGCCACCCCGTCCTGGGGCTGTCTCTTCCAGGCAGATGAGCTGGAGCTCTCCCAAGGTGTCCACCATCGACCCGGCAGCGACGCCCAAGGGCCCACCCACCTTTCCACCTCACTGCCGCTCCAGGTGGCCCCAGGGCCCTTGGCTGTTCCATTTCCCAAAGGGGACTGTGCCACCTTGCGTCAGCCACGGCACCCACTGAGCATGTCTGAGACACATGGGCCATAAGGTTTACCCAGGCATGGGGCCTTAGATGTCATTCAAGCTTCCCCCAAACCCAGGAGGCAGGGAAGAGGTGGTTCTATCGGCAACTATCCCATGCTGCCTGCTTTCCCGGGGAAAGCGGACTCGCATTCAGAGATGAAGTCCCTGAGCTGAATCTCAGTTGTGACTGACTGCCAGCACCATCATCACCCTTGGTCTTCAGAGAGCAAAACACCGTGCAGGCCAAAGCTCCCACCCGAGGCCCAAGAATCCTGCCACCCTCACTGAAAACACCGGTCCCATGCGGGGCCCTGTATCCCTGACGGCCAACCACGCCACACTTGGCTTGGCTTTCAGCAAAAAGGTCCCTGGCAGGTTGAACACATTACTGCCCCACCAGCGGTCAGGAGCAACGTGCTCCTCACTGCTTCTACCAGCTTGCCAGGAAACGCCCCTGCAAGATGGCTGGCACGTTCACCACCCCTTATCAACTACCACCTGGGGCCTGTGCACTCGGCCCCCGAGAGTCAGCCCCTGGTGAAGTGTCTGCCACAGTCAACTGCCAGGAGCTTGTCCCTGTTCCTTCTTTTTCCATAAAAAAGGTTAATTTAAATTTAGTGTGTGAAAAACAAAGCATGTTCCCACCACAGGGAAGGTACCCACTGCCATCTTCAAAGTGTCAACAAGCAACCCCCCGACTCCATTCTTTGGTGGGGAGGGCTGAAACAGGAAGAATTAGAGGCAGGAAGTATTAGAGGCAGACTGTGTCAGCTGCCCTGTGCTTCCTGACCCTTAGAGAAGAGATCTGAAAAGACAAATTTCAGGGAAAAACATGCTGATCATGCAACAGCAATAGGCTTAGGTTTAGGCCTCATTAACTTAATATCCTGCGTCCCACGCACCCTTCGCAATCAGGCCAGGGAGCGTTGAGGTCAGGCCTAGAGACCGTGGGAGGAGCGAGGCCTCCGCGTGCCTCACTCGCCATAGGCTGTGCCCGTGCTGAGTCAGGGCCAGCCCTGCCCACATCCCTGCCAGCAGGGCCCGGCACCCAGCAGAAGCAGGCAGCAGCCCCCACCGTGTGAAGGAAGGGCCCTCAAGGCTGGAACTGCCCAGAAAAATACTCACTTACACAATTCTTTGGAATTAAAGTTCAAGCATTCTCAAAAAAACAAACAAAACACACACACACACACACAAAACCTGAAAACAAAACGACACCCAAGTCACTTGAAGAAATACCAGCCTCTAGTTAGCACTGCACAGATCAAACAGCCAGGCAACAGGCAGGTGTCTTCCAAGCAGCCCAGGCTCCCCGCCACCCCGCCCACCTCGCTGGCAGAAGGAACTCGTCAGACCAGTCCAGTTTCAGTCCTCATTTAAATTTCAAGAATTGGGTATTAAGGGGGAAGGGCTGGAAACCTGAGAACAGGGTCGATGGGTTAGATAACCTGGTATCAGTACTGTCTTTCTCAGCTGGTTGCATAGCATAACATGCCTGTAATCACAGCATTATGGGAGGCCAGGAGTTCAAGACCAGCCTGGGCAACATAACGACACTCCAGGTGGTGGTGGGGCCTGTAGTCCCAGCTACGTGGGAGGCTAGGGCGGGAGGATCGTTTGAGTCAAGGTTGAGGCTGCAGTGAGCCATGATCGTGTCACTGCACTCCAGCCGGGGTGACACAGACCTCATCTCTTCAATAAAAATTTAAAAAATAAAAAATAGTTTCTCAATTTTTTTTTTTTTTTTTGAGACGGAGTCTTGCTGTGTTGCTAGGTTGGAGTGGTGCAGTGGTACGATTTCGGCTCACTGCAACCTCCGCCTCCCAGGTTCAAGTGATTCTCCTGCCTCAGCCTCCCGAGTAGCTGGGACTACAGGCGCCCACCACTATGCCAGCTAATTTTTGTGTTTTTAGTAGAGATGGGGTTTCACCATATTGGCCAGGATGGTCTCGATCTCTCAACCTTATGATCCGCCCGTCTCAGCCTCTCCAAGTGTTGGGATTACAGGCGTGAGTCACTGCGCCCGGCCGCTTTCTCAATTTTGATCACTGTGCTGTGTTCATGTGAGAGAATGTCGTCGTTCTTGGGAAACAATAGGTATCTCAGTGTCCACATAAAGGGGACTGTGTCGGTCTCCAGCTACTCTCAGATATTTCAATAGAAACACACACCACACAGTGGGGATGGGTGCGGTGACTCACACCTGTGATCCCAGCACTTGGAGAGGCTGAGGCAGGCGGATCACCTGAGGTCAGGAGTTCGAGACCAGCCTGGCAAACATGGTAAAACCCCATCTCTACTGAAAATACAAAAAGTAGCTGGGCTTGGTGGTGGGTGTCTGTAATCCCAGCTACTCGGGAGTCTGAGGCAGAAGCATTGCTTGAACCTGGGAGGTGGAGGTTGCACTGAGCCAAGATCACGCCACTGCACTCCAGCCTGAGCGACAGAGTAAGGATCCATCTAAAACATACACACATACACACACACACACACAGCTCACTGGGGGTGGGGCAAGAGGCACCACATGCCAAAGGGTAAAATGTCAGCCAATGGTGAGTCTGGCAGAGCCAAGAAGATATGGGAATTTTTGTAATTTTCCTGTAAGTCAGAAGTTATATATACAACTATGGTATAAAAAACTAAGATTTTTTTGAAAAAAGTCTCATTACTTATGAAATCTGAGACAGCAACAGATAGCTTTCCCTTCACATAGCTGTGTCGCGATCTCCTGACCTCAGGTGATCGGCCCGCCTCAGCCTCCCAAAGGACTGGGATTACAGGCGTGAGCCACCACGCCCGGCCACACTGTGTGTGTTTCCACTGAAATATTTGAGAGTGGCTTCTAACGCTAAAGCTTCCTGTGTCCATGTTTCTTTTACTACTGCTCAGGAGCCACCGGCTAACACCTTCTTCCTGGTCTATAGACAGAAGCCTCCAGGAAGTCCCAGGGGGAGAGTCACCTCCTCAGTGGCAGGGACTGCCTCCAGAGCCCCGGCACAAAGTCCCTACTTCTGAGTCTCAGAATGTTTCAGTCAATAAAATAAGAAAGCTCCTGGCTTTCTCACTCACTCCTCACCAGGTAGTGAGTGAGAAGCCGGCACCCTAGAAACATGCGGGGCCCTGGGCAGGCAACTCCTAGATGCTATCCATCAACTGCCCAGGCAGCAAAACTAACTCTCACACAAGTAAACGTCGGGGTCCAGGGAGCCAGGGCGAGCACAGGCCAACAGGAGGTGCCGCTGGCTCTCAAGGGCTTGCTACGGGGCTGACGGTCTGCTTGTCCTCAGCTCCAGGCTTTCTCAGCCTGTACCTGGGCTGGCAGCGTGTGGACCAAGGGCATTAACAGGGCAATGCAACACTGGTCTATGCAGATGAAGGGGTTAGCAAGCAATGGCCCTGCCTCTGAGGGGCCCACTGGGTGGGAGAGTCATCACCCAGCTGATGGCATCTCCCAACTGGACATCGCGGCTCCTACAGACCTCACATCCCACAAACCCAAAAGGGGTGTTCTCGTCAGTGGGAGAGGTGTGGGGTGAGCTCCACTTCTTCCCTTGCAACCTGCAGTCCGGTGTGCAGTCTGCCTACCGAAGGTCATGATGAATATCTCCCAGGACCTGCAAGCCAGGCACCTAGGGCCTGCAGCTCCACACCTGGCAGGTGCTCCTCAGTCCACGGGGGCCGGCGCAGCCACCCTCTTCCGCCTGTTAAAAGCAAAAGCCGTTTTGGAAGGCACCTCGCTTGCTGCGTGCCATTAGGGTAGCTGTGCAGTATTTATGCAGAAAGTCCATCTGCAGAGCTTCCTCTGGCCTAGGCTGACCACAAAGAGCCCTGGCCTCCTGGCAGCACCAGAGCAGGCTTCAAAAAGCGGTGGCCAGCCTGGCCACTGGGGGCCAGCAGCCTCACTGGGGGCAGTTGGCAGGCGAGCTTTCCCTTCCTGCTGGGCCGGGGGATGAAGCCAGGAGGAGCTTATCTCCCCACACACCCCACTTGGCTCCAGGTTCTGCCAGTCACACTCAGCTCAGTGCACAATCTCAAGAGGCAGAAGCCCAGGCCCAGGGGCGGTTGATATGTAGGGAGTCCTTCTCTTCCTCCAGAGAATCAGGAAGAGCCTCTAGGGACTTTCCTGCCTCTAAGACCAGGTGGGGACTGGGACCACTTCACCCACTGTCTGCCTCAGGCCAGTGAGCCCAGCCCCACCCTCCACAAGCCTGGCCTCCCTCTCACCAGCAGGGTAAGATGCCCTGCCCCAGCCAATGCCTGCAGGGTGTGCGATCCACAGAACACAGGAGCAGTCCGTGAACCGGAACACGCTGCTGTGTGCTGAAGGAGTCCCTGAATGCCCACATCCCGGGTGCTTACTGTGGCCACCCTCATCCTCTCCCTGACAGCCCTGCCCTTCCAGGCGGACCAGTGTCCTCCTTGGCAATGCCTGGAGCCAAGCTGGAACCTCAGCCCATAAGCATCTGTCGAATGAGTGGCCTCTGCCAAAAGCCCTGTCACAGCTCTCAGAGAATCAGACATCATGACGTGGTGTCACGGCCACCAGGCCTGGATCGGAAAAGGCCTCAGTCCACAGAAGACAGCACAATCTCAGGTTGACAGATCGCACCCTGCACACAGCCGCCCACCAGGAGCACCCTCTGTGCGGGGCGGCCAGTGGAGGAGTGTGGACTCCCAGCTCCAGCTCTTCCACTCTCTGGGGTGACCCCAGGCGCATCTCTCAACTCCTCTGTGCCTCAGTCTCTCTGGCAAAGTCAAGGGTTAGAACCAAGGCTGCAAGCACCAGCTGGGCACACTACCTGCTGCTGCTAGCTCTGGGCTACGGGGGAGCCGCTGTGTAAAGGGTAAGCGCCAGGGCCCATGCTGCTGCCTTTCTAGACACGGGCCTGCTCCAGACCATCGGAGCCAAGGCGAGCCAGACAGGAGCACATCTAACCTCACAGCCCATTCACAGGAATCAAAGGAGCCAACACAGGACAAGCCGTAAACCACAAGGAGCAGCTGCCCCCAGCGCAGTGGGAACCCGGCCAAAAGCACGGATGCTCCCAGACAGTGGTTCTCCCCAGAGCAGGACACTGGGTGATGTCTGGGGACATTTGTGGTTGTCACGACTGGGGGTACTCCTGGCCCGGAGTGAGTGAAGGCCGAAGATGCTGCCCGGCACCCTGCAGTGCCCATGGTGCCCCAGAGTGATCCAGGCCAGAGTGCTGACAAAGCCCAGGAGACCTGCCTCAGAATAACCCCAAACGCACCAAGAGAGCCCCAGAAAGGCTGGCACGGCCCCATGAGGTTCCCCGTCACTCCCTACACTGCAACAGCCTTCCCCCAGATCACGGCCCTCTCTGGCCTGACCAACAATCCCTCCCAGGTGCCTCATGCTCACTCCACACAGACACAAGTGGTCACAGCCTCTAGCTGCCCAGCCAGGAGCCACACTCAGGATGTCTCCTTCCACAGCCACCCAATAAACCCAGGGACCTGCCACGGGCCTGGCTCTGAGCGGCACGGGCCCCACCACAGGCTTGGGTCCCCTTGAAGCTGCCCAGAGGCGGCTTTCTCCTCTCTCCACTGAGTCCTTCCTCGCTCTGTGACTTCCCTACAATACTTCCAGGTGTCCCCATCTTACCATTCCCCAGCCTACCAGATAAAATCTTCCATAAACCTCCCTCTCCAGTTCCGTGATCGCGTGCCGCCTTGGAGGCCAGCAGAACACAACAGCCTGGGCGCTCGAGGTGACCCCTCTGAGCCTCTGCCCCCTCCCCAGTAAGCTGGGCATGGGTCCTATCCCTGACACCCGGCCTATCACCCAGGCGCCCGGCACCCAGCAGCTACTCGACAGGATGCAGCAACCCCAGCCACACTCTGTCAGCTTCCCAGAATCCAAGTCAGAGGTGCTCAACCCAGACTTTAAGATGACTTCACAAGGCCAGGGAGGGCAGACTGGAGACTCAGGCCTTCCTGACCGCCTGTGCCCTGAGTGCTCCAGACCACCAGCTTGTGCCACCTCCCTAACCTCCCAGACAAGTCAGTGCCTATCTCCCACCCTTCACAAGAAGACCACAGGACAGACCCTGCTCCCAAATGAGGACACTGTCCATCACATCCATCATGTGGGGTCCGCGTGTGAAACCCACCATGGTCCGGACAGGGACTCCCCACACCCCACCACCCCATGCGCTTCCTTCTGCATGCAGCCCCCTCCTTAGGCTGACTAGAAGTCGGGGTGTGTAAGGCATCCATTATCACCAGCAGGCCTCAGTTGACTTTCATCCCCCATTGGGCTTCACGTGGACTTCTAAGCCAGCACAGGTAGCCTCAGAACTTGGGAAGACTTCTCAGACTCAAAACCAGAGCTTCCCCCAAGGGTGGCTCCCTAACCCACCTTCCCAGGGCAGCAGCTGGACAGCCACAAGTGTCTCAGAACAGGGGGTTGCTGAGCTCCAAGTCTCCTGAAGTGTTGACCCCGCACCCATCGTGCTCCAGGCCCAGCCTGGAACTCCAGGCAGGGTCCCGCAGGATCTCCTTTCCCCTCCAAGGCAGTGAGCAGTGAGGGCTCTGCGTCAGGAAGAGAGGCCGCTCCTCAGGCTGCCGAGCCCTCCGGTGGGTAAGCGACACCGCAGACCCATGGCATCCTGAGAGCTGCCATCTGCAGCAGAGAGGTCCTGCTTTCATCCACGCTCAGCACCCTCCCGGGTGGCACCTGCCACAGGGCTGGTCCTGTGGCCTCACAGGAAACTGCAGGGAACCTGCCAGGAGGGCGCTTCACAGGGTCACAAGCACTTCACCCACACGACAACTCCACACAGCAAGGAGGTCAGGGTAGACCCTGGACTACACACAGAATGGAAGCCGGTCTCCCATGGGAGGTGTAGCTGTGTCAACACTTCTTGGCCAATGAGTCTGACTTAGAAAGCAGTGGACGCTCCTGGCAACCGGGGAGAGCAGGGTCCATGAACTCCAGTCCTCCTCCACGCAGCCCATGGCGTCCAGGTAGCCTGCGAGCCTATCTGTGCTGTGGGTGGGACCCCTCCAGACCCAGGCTGGGACCCCAGCTGCTCCATTTCCCAAGGGTGTCCATGCAGGGAGGGAAGGGACAGGAGCCCTCACCTCTCTCCAGCCTCCTCACAGCCACGGCTGGGGTGGAGCAGACTCACGTTCACCCACGGCTTGAATGGACCTAACCCAGGTACCCCATCTGGGAGTCCCTTCCTCGCCTCACCCCAAAGTCGGCGGCTCCATTCCCCGTGGCTGGTGGACTCCCTGCTCAGGCCCATCCGGGCAATGTCTCCCACATAGGCACTCCGACTCTGCCAAATCAAAGCGCCTGGAGAGGACTCACAGCACGGGCGAGGCAGGGGCTAAGTGCTTTCATCCCGGTTCTCCAACGGAAAGTGCTCTTTGTTTTGTCTGGGGACGGGGAGAACCCACAAAAGGCCATTTCCCGTCCACAACTGTGACCTGTGGCTGGTGCAAGACGGGCCTGCCAAGGCAACCCTCTAGCAGCAACCGCTCCTGCACTGGCCAAGCCCAGTGCTGAGAACACGGGGCGCAGCTCAAAGCTAAGGGCACCGAGAAAATTTACACCAGACCACGAGGAAACCCAACCCAGACTGTTTTGCCGGAAGAATGCAACTCTAAACAACGTTGCTGCTGCAGGAGCCGCTCCTGCCAAAGAACGGAGCCGAGCCCCGGGGCACCGCGGAATGAGGTTTCTCGGCCCCGCGGGGTCCGGAGCAGGTCTGGCTCCTATAGGAGGGGACGCCTCGGCTCCGCGAAGATCCGCGGGCCCATCGCCGCTTCAGAAGCGCTGACTCTCCCTTCCGCAGCTCAAGCCCACCCCCGGCGGGGAGGCGCCGAGACAACGTAAACACAGCAGGCCCCGGCTGACCCGAGCACCCCGGGCTCTGGGTTTGCGAACCCCTCCCCTCCTTACCACTCTGGGGGGGCGGGATGGGAGCGGGGCGCCTGGAGCCCAGAGTGGGGTAAGTTGGGCGGTGGCAGAACCGGAACCCTAGGCTCGACTCGCCACGTGCGCTGCCCGCCAAGTTTGGGCGCGCGCTGGGGGCGCCCCGGACCACCCACCCCCCAGGCCACGATTCGGGGTCCCCCGGGCCAGGAAGCCGGGAAGCGGCGGCGAGGGCGCCCTGAACTTCCCGCAGGCTCCCTCAGGTTCTCATTCGAGGTCCCCCAGGCCAGGAAGTCTACAGGCAGCAGCGGGGACGCCCCAGACCCCCCCAGGTTCCCGTTCGGGGCCGCCACAGCCAGGAAGCCGGGAAGCGGCGGCCGGGGCCCCCGACCCCCTCAGGCTCCCATTCGGGGTCCCTCAAGACGCGCAGTCGGGAAGCGGCGGCAGGGGCGCCCCAGGACCCCCCCCAGGATGGCGTTCGGGGTTCCCCCAACTAGGAAGTCTGGAGGCGGCAGCGGGGTCCTCCGGACCCCTCAGACTCCCCTTCAGGGTCCCCCAGGACGGGAAGCCGGGAAGCGGCGGCAGAGGCGCCAGCACCCCCCAGACCCCGGGCACCCGTCCAGGGCCCCCGGCGAGAAGCCGCGGCGAGTCCGGGTCCCAAGTCCGCCCCCGGCCGGCGTGACCTTGACGGGGCGGCCCCGGGGGGCGGCGTCTGAGGCCGGGTGGCGGGGAGCGGCGGGCCGGGCCCGGGGCGGAGACGCAGGCCCGCGCCGCTCGTCCTCACCCGATCTCGTCGGCGCCCGAGTTGTTCATGGCGGCGGCGGCGGCGCTCGGCGCTCCCGGGTCTCCTCGCTCGCTCCCGCCTCCGGAAGGTCACCCGCTCTGTCGCCCTCCCCACAGCCGCGGCCCGGATCTGCGCAACGGCGGCGGCGGCGGCGGCGGCGGCTGCCTCCTCCCCTCGGCGCCAACGGTCACCGCGCGTCCCCGCGCCGCCGCGCCGCCGCCCCTGCGCACGCCCGGGCGCGCTCCCGCACGGGGCCTCCGGGGGCGGGGCCAGGGGTACTCCGTCTGTGCGTGCGTCCTGGCGGCCGATTTCGCGCCGCCGCAGTCGGCGCCGTCGCGCGTTTCCCTTCCTCCTCGGAGGCTCCCGGCGTTGCCGCGGGGCACTCTGGTAAATGGAGTCCCTGCGCTGGCCCCGCCCCTGAGAGGGAAGGATGCGCGCGGGCCGAGCCACGTGCGTGCGTGCGCGCGCGGGAGCGCCTGGCGATCCGGGCTAAGCGCAGGCGCGGCTGCCGCTTCCTCTTTAACTCTCCACTGGGAAGCTGTGGAGCCGTGTGGGGCGCTGGGGGGAGTGGGAGTGTCCCCGCCCGCACCCCAGTCGGGCGGACGGAGCGGGAGCGGCACGTGGCCGTCCCGTGCGAGGCTCCTTCCCATGTCCCCATTTCACAGAAGAGGATCCCGAGGGTCCGAGAGGCTGAGTCACTTGGTCAAGGTCACTCAGTTCGGGACTGGACTGGAATCAAATCAAAACAATTAACTAAATTCCATTACTATGAAAGGGTATTACTGACCCCCCCAAGTACTATTCCTATTAATAGCCAAATACTGTTTTAGTTGCATCTGTTAATTGCATACATCAGTGGTTCTTCTCCTGGGTGACTTTGCTGCCTAGGGGATAACTTGGCAATGTCTGAAAACACGGTTTTGGTTGTCACATCTTGAGTAGGGGGTGCTGCTGGCATGTAGGGGGTCCAGACCAGAGATGCCGCTCAGCACCCTGCAGTGCACAGGATGGCCCCCCAAAAAGAATGATGCCCGTCCTCCAATGTCAGCAGTAGGAGGTGGAGAAATCCGTCTAGGCTGACCTTGGTAAACAGGTGACACGCAGGGTTTTGTCAAACCGGGTACGTGATGCCTACTGCTTTTCTCCTTCATCTCACAGCACATTGATAACCGGATCGTTTGATTTATTCATCATCACAAAATTAAATAAATACAAGAAACAAGGCTGGGTGAGGTGGCTCACACCGATATTCCCAACATTTTGGGAGGCCAAGGTAGGTGGATCAATTGAGGTCAGTAGTTCGAGACCAGCCTGGCCAACATATATAGTGAAACCCCGTCTGTACTAAAAATACAAAAGAGGCCGGGCGCGGTGGCTCAAGCCTGTAATCCCAGCACTTTGGGAGGCCGAGGTGGGTGGATCACGAGGTCAGGAGATCCAGACCATCCTGGCTAACACGGTGAAACCCCGTCTCTACTAAAAAATACAAAAAACTAGCCGGGCGAGGTGGCGGGCGCCTGTAGTCCCAGCTACTCGGGAGGCTGAGGCAGGAGAATGGCGTGAACCCGGGAGGCGGAGCTTGCAGTGAGCTGAGATCCTGCCGCTGCACTCCAGCCTGGGTGACAGAGTGACACTCCGTCTCAAAAAAAAAAAAAAAAAAAATACAAAAGAAAATTAGCCAGGCGTGGTGGTGGGCGCCTGTAATCCCAGCTACTCGGGAAGCTAAGGCAGGAGAAATGCTTGAACATAGGAAGTAGAGGTTGCAGTAAGCCGAGATCATGCCGCTGCACTCCAGCCTGGGCAACAGAGCGAGACTCCCTCTTAAAAAAGAAAAAAAGGGCCGGGTGCGGTGGCTCAAACGCCTGGAATCCCAGCACTTTGGGAGGCCAAGGCGGGTGGATCACGAGGTCAGGAGATGTAGACCATCCTGGCTAACACCGTGAAACCCCGTCTCTACTAAAAATACAAAAAATTAGCTGGGCGTGGTGGCGGGTCCCTGTAGTCCCAACTACCTGGGAGGCTGAGGCAGTAGAATTGCTTGAACCCGGGAGGCAGAGCTTGCAGTGAGCCGAGATCGCACCACTGCACTCTAGCCTGGGCAACAGAGCAAGACTCTGTCTCAAAGAAAAACACACATACACACACACACACACAGAGAACAAGATCACAGGCAAACAGAACAAAAACACTTTTTTTTCTTTTATTTTGGGATGGCGTCTCACTCTGTTGCCCAAGCTGGAGTGCAGTGATGCAATCATAGCTCACTGCAGCCTTGAACTCCTGAGCTCCAGCTATCCTCCCTCCTCAGCCTCCCGAGTAGCTGAGACTAAAACCCTATTTAAAATAAAACTGGCCAGATGCAGGTGCTCATGCCTGTAATCTCAGCACTTTGGAAGGCCGAGATGAGAGGATCGCTTGAGCCCAGGAGTTCAAGACCAACCTGGGCAGCATGACAAAACCCCATCTCTACAAAAAAAAAAATAATAATAATGCAAAAATCAGCCAGGTTTGGTGGCACGCGCCTGTAGTCCTAGCTACTTGGAGGCTGAGGTGGGAGGATGGCCTTTGCCCAGGAGTTGGAGGTTTCAGTGAGCCAACATCCCACCACTGCACTCCAGCCTGGGCCACAGAGCCAAACCCTGCCAAAAAAAAAAAAAATGTGGGCTCAGAGGCTCACATCTGTGATCCCAGCAGTCTGGGAGGGTGAGGCAGGAGGATCACTTGAGCCCAGGAGCTCGAGACCAACCTGGGCAACACAGCAAGACCCTGTCTCTACCAAAAAAAAAAAAAAACAAAACTGAAACAAAACAAGACTAGACTAGAACATTTGAAACCACCACACATGCATCTATTGGTGACTGGATAAATGAACAATGCAGCAGTGGGTGGGTGAAATGCACAGAATGTGGCCCAAAGAAGGAAGTCAGGTACAAGCTACTTACAAATAATGTATTTTTAAAAATATAGGCCAGGCACGGTGGCTCATGCCTGTAATCCCAGCACTTTGGGAGGCCAAGGTCAGAGGGTCACCTGAGGTCAGGAGTTTGAGACCAGCCTGGCCAACATGGCGAAACCCCATCACTACTAAAAATACAAAAATTAAGCAGGTGTGATGGCAGGTGTCTATAATCCCAGCTACTCAGGGGGCTGAGGTAGGAGAATTGCTTGAACCCGAGAGGCAGAGGTTGCAGTGAGCCGAGATTGCGCCATTGCACTCCAGCCCAGACGACAGTGCAAAACTCCATCTCAAAAAAAAAAAAAAATTAGCCGGGTGTGGTGGCAGATGCCTGTAATCCTGTAATCCCAGTTATTCAGGAGGCTGGGGCAGGAGAATTGCTTGATCGTGAGAGATGGAGGTTGCAGTGAGCCAAAATCACGCCACTACACTCCAGCCTGGCCTACAGTGTGAGACTCCACCTTAAAAAATAAAAAAAAAAAAGAACGAACGAACGAGAAGAGCCTGCTTCTCCCTCTTCCCCATTCATTTCCTTCCTTCCACCCCAGGGCAAAGGCAGCGAGAAAAAGGCTGTGCAGACACTGATCTGAATTTACTCCCAGTGTGACTATAAACAGATCCAACACACATTATATAGTTTTGCTCCCCTTTTTTTCTTGTGGTAAAATATACGTGACATAAAATTTTCCATTTTAATTATTTTTATTTTTATTTTATTTATTTATTTATGTTTTTGAGACGGAGCTTCGCTCAGTCGCCCAGGCTGGAGTGCAGTGGCCAGATCTCAGCTCACTGCAAGCTCCACCTCCCGAGTCCATGCCATTCTCCTGCCTTAGTCTCCCAAGTAGCTGGGACTACAGGCGCCCGCCGCCACGTCCAGCTAATAGTTTGTATTTTTAGTAGAGACGGGGTTTCACCGTGTTAGCCAGGATGGTCTCGATCTCCTGACCTTGTGATCCGCCTCCCTCGGCCTCCCAAAGTGCTGGGATTACAGGCATGAGCCACGGCGCCCGGCCTTATTTTATTTTTTTTTATTTTTTTTATTTTTATTTATTTTATTTTTTTTTTTTTTTGAGACGGAGTCTCGCTCTGTCGCCCAGGCTGGAGTGCAGTGGCCGGATCTCAGCTCACTGCAAGCTCCGCCTCCCTCCCGGGTTCTGCCCATTCTCCTGCCTCAGCCTCCGGAGTAGCTGGGACTACAGGCGCCCGCCACCACGCCCGGCTAGTTTTTGTATTTTTAAGCAGACGCGGGGTTTCACCGTGTTAGCCAGGATGGTCTCGATCTCCTGACCTCGTGATCCGCCCGTCTCGGCCTCCCAAAGTGCTGGGATTACAGGCTTGAGCACCGCGCCCGGCCTGTTTTTGTATTTTTAGTAGAGACGCGGGGGTTTCACCGTGTTAGCCAGGATGGTCTCGATCTCCTGACCTCGTGATCCGCCCGTCTCGGCCTCCCAAAGTGCTGGGATTACAGGCTTCAGCCACCGCGCCCGGCCTTATTTTATTTTGAGGTGGCGACTCACTCTGTCACCCAGGCTGGAGTGCAGTGGCGCGATCGCGGTTCACTGTCAGCTCCGCCTGCCGGGTTCACGCCAGTCTCCTGCCTCAGCCTCCCGAGTAGCTGGGACTACAGGCGCCCACCACCAAGCCCGGCTAATTTTTGTATTTTTAGTAGAGACAGGGTTTCCCGTGTGCTTGAGTCAGTCTTGATCTCCTGACCTGGAAAGTGATCTGCCCACCTCTCGGCCTCCCAAAGTGCTGGGACAACAGGCGTGAGCCACCGCACCGGCCCGAGGGGGTTCACCGTGTTAGCCAGGATGGTCTCGATCTCCTGACCTCGTGATCCGCCCGTCTCGGCCTCCCAAAGTGCTGGGATTACAGGCTTCAGCCACCGCGCCCGGCCTTATTTTATTTTTTGAGGCAGCGACTCACTCTGTCACCCAGGCTGGAGTGCAGTGGCGCGATCGCGGTTCACTGTCAGCTCCGCCTGCCGGGTTCACGCCATTCTCCTGCCTCAGCCTCCCGAGTAGCTGGGACTACAGGCGCCTGACACCATGCCCGGCTAATTTTTTGTATTTTTAGTAGAGACAGGGTTTCCCCGTGTTAGCCAGGTCAGTCTTGATCTCCTGACCTCGTGATCTGCCCACCTCGGCCTCCCAAAGTGCTGGGACAACAGACGTGAGCCACCGCACCCGGCCCGAGACCCTGACTTAATAAATAAGTCCAGGCCAGGTGGCTCACACCTATAATCACAGCGTTT